ATTAGGTCTCAGGTATGTATAAAAATAACCCCAGTACACTAGACCTTCACATCAACTGCAACTAGACCTCTGCAAACATGCCTAAGATTCACCCTGAGACTAAAGTGTTGATTATCAAGAGGCTGAAGACTAGATCCACTGCTGATGTAGCAAACACCTTTAATGTGTCTCAGTGTCAAGTACAAAGGATAAATATATATCGAAGAGACCTTGCAAGACAGAAGTGGACCGCTTGTTGGCTTAAAAATCCAAGGCCAGCCTATTTTCCAATGCAACAGAGCTCCATGAGACCTAGTCACCTGAAGTCCCTATGTCAACAAAACAGTTTGTCGGATTCTCTCGAAATGGCCTCCATGGCTGTATCCACACCCAGAAGACAGCACTAAACAAAAGACAATTGAAAAAATGTGTGGCATTTGCCATGGCCCACAGCCTGCTAACAAGATGGATCTGAAATTCACCCAGAAAACAGTGAAGTTTGGCGGTGGAAAAATTATTGTCTGGGGTTACATCCAGTATGGGGGTGTGTGAGTGATCTGCAGGGTGGAAGGCAACATCAATAGTCTAAAATACCAAGAAATCTTAGCTACCTCTTATTATCCCAACTAAAAAGAGGCCAAATTCTGCAGCAGGATGTGCTCTATTGCACACTTCCTTCTCCAGGCGAAGAAGAGTAAGATGCTGCAGGATTGGCCAGCTCAGTCACCAGACATGAACATCATTGAGTATATGTGGGGTAGAATGAAAGAAGAAGCATGAAAGATGAAACCAAAGAATATTGATTAACTCGAGGAGGCATGCAAGACGGCTTTTTTTTTTTTTTTTTTGCTATTCCTTATGACTTCATTAATAAATTGTATGAATCCTTGCCAAACCACATGGATGCAGTCCTTCAAACTCATGGAAATCATACAAGATTAAACTAGGATCTCACAGCACCACTGCTTAGTTTTCTGACATTTTGTATTATTTGCAGTAAATTTGTTTAATTTTTGTATAGGTGACAACTTTTGTCTTTCTAAAATTTGACTATTCTGTCATGATTGAATGATAAATCTTTTTTTCAGTGAAACTAACTTATTTCACTGCATTAAAAATCATCTGGGAGGGTTTTAGCTTTTCATATGAGCTATTTGTAACACCAATTGATTAATTAAAAGTCAGATTAATAATAGCAGGTGTTTGTACAACATAGATAAACGCCAATACTTTTGTCAGGGACTGTATAGTATAAATGTTTAACATATATTTATATGGTGACCTCAAAACCAGAGGAGAGCCTACATATTATTATGTTCTTTATTAACGGCAGCTGTAATTATATGTATTTTACAGTTATTTTCATATAATCTTTTTTTTCTAGCCTTCTGGGCCAGGCAAGTATGTGTTTGACATTGGTTGTGAGCAGCATGGAGAGTATCTCCAGATAGAGCAGGTATGTGAGTTTAAACTATATGCATCATATATATGAGATGTAAATTCATGACCTGAAGTGTATTTCAGGTGGAAGAATCTGGCTTCCCAGGGTAAATTTATAAGACAATTGATTCCTGCCTTTTTGTTTTTCTTTGCATGTTTAAACTGTTTTCAAAAACTGGCACTGGTCCTGCTTTATATTAAATGGCCTTTACTATGACAATCAAAATATAAATACAATATATTTGATGTGTTTATAATGTATTGCAGAACACGCCTGGTGCTATTGAGGTAAAGATTTGGTGGTATAGGTTGGTTTAAGGGTGGGTTAAGGTGTAAGGGATGGTCAACAGTGTAATTATAAATGTACTTCTGAAAGAAATTACAGATGTTGTACATGCTGGTTTTTAGTCAAGCATAAGTACAATGTAAAAATATGTATTTACACCATATTAACATTTATATTAATTACTAATTTCAGTGTAAGTTCATTAGTTAAGGCCATATATATATTTTTTTAAACTGTTTTCTTTTAAACATATCCTTAGTTTTCAACTGTTTTGTTGTATTTGGCATATTAAGAGAACACTTTTGTGAAAAATGTGTGCGCAAAATTAAATAGAACGTGCGCTTGCAATCAGTACATTTGGAATTAGAGTTCTTTCATCAAAGACAATAGATGTAATTATGAGATATTAGATTAGATTAGATTACATTCAACTTTATTGTCATTACACATGTACAAGTACAATGCAACGAAATGCAGTTTAAGTCTAACCAGCAGTGCAATAGCAGCAAGTGCAGGATACAGGAATAAGTTATAAAGGGCAGTTATAGAAAAACTATGGTGATACTTACAGATGGATGTACTATCAAAATTATATACAGGTTGGATAAGCTATGAGCAGATTTACAATATATGAATATATGTGCAGGTTGCTATTAATAATCAGTAGAGTGCAGATAAATAAACATGATTACAAGTGTATATGTTACAATATATGTACAGGGATAGATGAACATGATTACAAGTGTATATGTTACAATTAGGGATGTGCGGAGCAGCCGGTATTTGTATTTGTATTTGTTGAGGGGGGAAAAGTATTTGTATTTGTATTTGTATTTGTATTTGTTGAGGGGGAAAAGTATTTGTATTTGTATTTGTATTTGTATTCGAGTAAAATTCAAAATGGCGCAAAAATATATATTTTTTTCTATTACACTTCTAATTTACGTTATAGTGAAAGTATTGTTTAATTATACCCATTATATAAATTATAGACATGCAATATTGGTTGTTGTTTTTGAACATGTGACAAGAAATGTCATTGAAAAGAAAATAACATAGAAGCCATTATCTCATCCATGGTTAAACCAACAACTAATAAAATACCATTGTGAATATTATGAACCCCACCACCACCGTTCTTGTTGAAGGACACTGAATAGACAGAATAAAAACAAATAATACTTCAAAAAACTGTTCTTCTTCTGGAAGAACTTTTTTCCAATGGACAGAATTCCAAAAACTAAAATTAACTAAATAAATCTAAATAAAACCCTGCCTGGGAGATCTGGCAGAACAAAAGTATTCTATATAATACTAAAAGATACAGCCCTGCTATTGTCATCTGGCAGAATGTGGCTGTGTTGATGGTTTGGTGCTTGTGGAGGATTTAGCAGAACATAGCTGTGCTGATTGAGGGGATTGATGCTTGTGGGGGGTTCACAGACAGTATCAGGAGAGGATGCTTTTAGTGCATGTGATAATACATTACATAGAAGGTTGCGCGGTGGCACAGTGAGTAGCACTGTCGCCTCACAGCAAGAAGGTTGCTGGTTCGAGCCTCGACTGGGTTCTCCCCATGTTGGAGTGGGTTTCCTCCGGGTGCTCGGGTTTCCCCCACAGTCTAAACACATGCAATATAGGTGAATTGGGTAAGCTAAATTGTCCCTATTGTATGTGTGCGAAAGAGAGTGTATGGATGTTTCCTAGTGCTGGGTAGCAGCTGGAAGGGCATCCACTGCGTAAAACATATGCTGGATAAATTGGTGGTTCATTCCACCGTGGCAACCCCAGATTGATAAAGGGACTAAGCCGAAAAGAAAATGAATGATTATGCATAGAAGATGTTGACAGATGTTTAATATCTCTGCCTCTGCTGATTTCACTTTTGCACACATTATACAGTATCAGTTTGTTTTATCTGCAGCTCCACTGACTGTAAAATGCTTCCACAAAGAACATGAAGTTTTATTTTTTTTACTGGTGGAGAACTAAGAAATGGCTCAGCAGCAGTCTCACTCTTTTTCATGGTGCCCAAATGTATTTGAGGAGTTTCAAGTTAATAAAAAGTGACGGGAGGCTATGCTAAGGTTAACTAGCCTATAGCATATATCTTGCTGTCTGCAAAAGACAGTAATGTAGACGTACCATATAACTACCATAAGTGGATACTATTCAACACAACTGCACAAGCATCGTTTTAACCTTTATAAAAGAACGTTAACGTTACTCTGTCAACAGTCTATTGTCTAAATTACCGCGCTAACAGAGCTAACGTTGCGTAAACAGAAAGCACCCTATTGCAAACTTCAAAAATGCAGCGTAATGGAAAATCCCGAACAAACTCCGCTACAAGTTTATAAATTGCATCTGGAACCCAATTAAGGTACAAAATAGTAATGCAGAGAAGTATTTTTTTCGCTCAGCCGAGCCTTCTCTGTCTGCTGCTGTGGAGAAGCGTGTGCCAGAGACCTTTTACCTCTGCCCCGCCCTCCGTCTCTCTCTCTCTCTCTCTCTCTCTCTCTCTCTCTCTCTCTCTCTCTCTCTCTCTCACTCACTCACGCACTGTGGTCTCAGGAGGAAACGCAGCTTTTTGATATAATGCTTTTCTTGCTCCCGAATACAAATAATTTTTCAAGTATTTGTTCGAAATAAGTATTCGTAAAAACACGCTATTCGTGCCTTTCCGAATACCGTATTCGGGTTCGGCTCCACCCTTAGTTACAATATATGAATATATGTACAGGTTGCTATTAATAATCAGTAGTATGCAGATAAATAAGCATGATTACAAGTGTATATGTATGGTGGGTGTGTACATAATTACAAATGCCCATATGCATAGGGTACGTACAGTTCAATAAGTAAACAGTTCAATGTGGTGCAGTGAATGTGCAAATTTTATATGTGCAAATGTTAAACAGTGCAGTTATTGTGAGGAGTTTAAGTTAGAGGAGAGTTGGGGGTGTATTGGGGGGGCAAAAGAGTCAGTGTGGGGCAGAGTTCAGGAGGGAGACAGCTCTGGGGAAAAAGCTGTTCCTCAGTCTGCTGGTTTTTGTCCGGGGGAGCCTGAAGCTCCTGCCGGAGGGCAGGAGAGAAAACAGTCTGTGAGCGCGGTGAAAGGTGTCCTTCAGAATACTGCGTGCTCGGCGCAAACAGTGTTTCTTCTGGATGTCCTCTATGGCTGGCAGTGTGGTCCCTGTGATGGAATTTTTTCACCACCCGCTGCAGTGCCTTACGCTCAGCAACAGAGCAGCTTCCATAACAGACTGTGACACAGTTTGTCAGGATGCTCTCTGTTGTGCAGCGGTAGAAGTTCACCAAGACGGCTGATGAAAGCTGGTTCTTCTTCAGTTGCCTTAAGAAGAATAGGCGCTGGTGAGCCTTCTTGATCAGGCTGGAGGTGTTGGTGGTCCAGGAAAGGTCCTTTGAGATGTGGGTCCCCAGGAACTTAAAGGATGAGACAGGCTCAACGGCCATTCCATTGATGTGAATGGGATCATGTGAGCCTGTTCGTCCCTTTCTGAAGTCCACAATGAGCTCCTTGGTCTTGTTGGTGTTAAGGAGCAGATTATTGTCGGTGCACCAAGTGGCCAGATGCTGTATCTCCTCCCTGTAGGCCGTCTCATCATTGTTGCTGATTAGACCAATCACTGTGGTGTCATCTGCAAATTTGATGATTGTGTTAGATCTATTAACAGGCCTACAGTCAACGGTAAAAAGGGAGTTGAGGAAGGGGCTCAGCACACAGCCCTGTGGTACACCAGTGTTGAGTGTGACGGTGGTGGAGCAGATGTGACCTGATCTAACATTCTGAGGTCTGTTAGTCAGAAAGTCCATAATCCAGTTGCAGAGTGATGTGTCGATATCCAGCTCTCTTAGTTTGATAAGTAACTTGGAGGGTATGACAGTGTTGAATGCTGAGCTGAAGTCCACAAACAGCATTCGTGCATAAGTGTTTTTATTGTCCAGGTGTGTGAGTACAGAGTGCAGTGCTATAGAGACTGCATCATCTGTGCTCCTGTTGCCACGGTAGGCAAACTGATGTGGGTCCAGTGTGGATGGCAGAGAGTCTTTTAGATGTGCCAGGACCAACCGCTCGAAACACTTCATGATGATGGGTGTGAGTGCTACAGGCCGGTAGTCATTCAGGCATGTTGGGCTGGAGTGTTTGGGCATTGGCACAATAGAAGTGGTTTTAAAGCATGTTGGCACAGCTGCTAGTTTGAGCGACAGGTTGAAAATGTCTGTGAATCCCCCTGCGAGCTGTTCCGCACATGCTTTGAGGACACGCCCAGGAATACCGTCTGGTCCAGCAGCCTTACGCACATTGTGTACTTCTGAGGAGGTGAGTGTGATAGGTGAGTGGTCGGTGGAGGAAGTGATCCTGGTGAAGGGTTCTTTATTGTCTCTATCAAAGCGGGCGTAAAAGTCATTTAGCTCGTTCAGGAAGGAGACGTCTGTGGCTGTGGGTGTGGACTGGCTGGGTTTGTAGTTGGTGATGGCCTGGATGCCCTGCCACATGCGCCGAGGATCAGAGTTGGAAAAGTGCTCCTCTAGCTTTAGCTTGTAGCAGTGCTTGGCCTTTTTGATGCCCCTCTTCAGATTAGCCCTGGAAGTGCTGTAGGCCTGTGCATTCCCTGATCTGAAGGCAGTGCTGCGTGCCTTCAGCAGGAGGCACACCTCCTTGTTCATCCATGGCTTCTGATTCGGGTATGTGGTGATTTGTTTCTGGGTTGTAACACTGTCTATGGTGGTGTTGATATATTCTAGAACAGAAGAAGTGTAACTGTCAATGTCTGTGTGAGAGCCATGTGTGGCCTGGGAAGCAAACATACCCCAGTCTGTGTGTTGAAACCTGTCCTGGAGTGTGGAGTCTGCCCCCGCTGGCCACACTTTGATGGTCCTCACTGATGGCTTCACACGGTCGATGAGGGGTGAGTATTTGGGGGTAAGGAACAAAGAAAGGTGATCTGACTGACCCAGGTGGGGGAGGGGGGTCACAGCATAGGCTTCAGCTATGTTTGTGTAAACATGGTCCAATGTTTTGTTTCCCCTTGTGTGGCAGATGTTTTGATGGAATTTAGGGAGCACTGTCTTAAAGTTTGAGTGATTAAAATCCCCCGCAACAATAAAAGCAGCCTCCGGGTGAGCAGTCTTTTGTTTGCTGATGGCTGCATGAAGTTCGTTCATAGCCAGCTTTGCATCAGCGTCGGGAGGAATATAAGCAGCAGATATTATGGTGGATGTGATCTCCCGTGGTAGGTAAAAAATATCATTAGATATCATTTAATCAACACTCTAAAAATCCTGCTATAACTATGATACACTTCCATTCAATTGCAATTTAAATACAATTTAGTTTATAAAATAGTCCACGTTATTTGACATGAAATGTACATTGAGGCCCCGTTTACACTAGTGCGTTTTAGTTTTAAAACAGTGTTTTAGAATGAAAGCGATCCGCGTCCACACTAGCGTATCACCCAGCGTTTCTGAACAGCTCTCCGTCTACATTAAATTCCTGAAAATGCACATCATGTGACCACACACACACTCTCGGGCAAGCGCTGCAGCCTATCTACCCAGATGAGAGCTGTGCTAGTCAGACTTCTCATCAAGCATCTCCCGCTGGATCTAATCTCACTATATTTATTAAACGTGATATTTCATTCATCTTGTTGTCTATATCTAACGACATTCCCCGACTTTGGTCATTGGAATCTATTACTTGTTCTCAGGTAACGTGTTTTGGCTAAGCGCAAATATAGGTTAATAATTAATGTAACCACATAGCCTACATTCTGTATATTGAATAATCGCTTGCTTTTTTCTATAATGTATAAACCTATTGTATGTTATACATTTATAATGGCCATTATAGATTATTAAAACTTATATTCAGTAAAAGAGAGGTCACGTTTCGTATTTTCACTGAAATTGAAAGGAGGCAGTTGTTATAGGCTCCGTTTTGTAATAAATATCAACACAGTAAAGATGACGCTCATAAATGCAGCACAATGCCTCAACATTTCTGCTGTCAAAATAGGCAGTTTAAATCATGTTTTCATTTTATTGTTGAGAAAGTGAAACAACGTAACCAGGGTGATGTGAATGAAGTTATAAAGTACACTGTTCCCTTTAAAGACTTACCAGTGTCCTCGGTAGTCTGTTTTCCATATCAAACTGAGGAGGGAGAGACTGCAGCCTTGATCAAACTTGCGAAGTCTGAACTTACAAGAAGAGGATGCAGGACTGAACTGTGTGTAACGTTAGGCTACTTAATAGTGAGAAAAAAAAGCCCCTATCAGATAGGCTAATGTCGGCAGCCCCGCCTCCCTTTTCAGATATCTCCGTTTTCCCTCATCCACAGTGAGACGGAGCAGCAGCGTTTTAGAATGAAAACGGCCTCTCCAGCGTTTCCAAAATGCTCCATTTTCGGCACTCGAAAACCCTGGCGTAGTGTGGACAGATGGCGTAACCGTAGCAAAACATGCGTTTTAAAACGAAAATGCATTAGTGTAAACGGGGCCTAAAAGTATGCTGATGTGCACATTTTCACACTTTTTTATTACTGAATCTAGCCAGTACTAAAGGAGACAACTAATAATGAATGGAAAACTTTTTAGTTGCGTTCTCCTTACCCCCATCAGGGACAGAGCTTCTCTATTGCTATTTTGGCTTTTGGAGAAGAGGTTTTATGAGCTCTTCTGGATATATTGTTGCTGTGCCTCTTAATGGTGCAGTTTGCCTGCTGCATGCCAACAGCTCTCATGCAGTGTTCTTTTTTTTTAGACTAATCAGGAGTGGAGTTTTTTGTTTTAAACATTACCAACTACTAGATAAAACTAAATGAAATATATTTCAATTATGTTTTAAGCAATGACCCTCATGAAAACAGATTATACCTGAATACATGAAAGCATACCAAGACACTAAAAACCAACCAAGGCTCATTATTAAAATGTATATTATTTTTGCAGGTTTGTTTTCGCAAATCTACCAGAGGCTGCTGTGTAATCCTTTTCAGATATCAAAGTTTTTTCGCGGATGCTATTCGCGCATACTGTTCTCGCAGAAATCCACTAGAGTCTGCTGTTGACTGACTGACTGACTGACAGACCGATATCTCCACCCACCCCCTTACCTAAACCAAACCGATAGTTTTTTTAAAAGCACTGATTGACCCGATCACCTAGTTCCCTAAACCCAACTGTCAGTGTTTTCAAAAGCATTCCAGCAAAAGATAAGCCCTTGTCCAATTTTTATCACGTTTTCAGATCTTACCACATTCTTACCCTGTTATTTACTTCATTCTTCTTACTACATTACTGGTTATTTACTACATTCTTCATCAGACTCGAACCCCTTGTGTGCAAGCACCCAAGAGGATGCGACGCTCCTTGTAGAGTGCGCTCTCACCGCTGGGGGACACTGCTTGCTCTGGCTTTGGAAAGTGAAGGAGATGGCATCCACGATCCTGTGGGCCAACCTCTGTTTAGATGCGGCACTTCCCTTTTGCTGACCACCATAACAGACAAAGTGCTGCTCAAAGAATGTAAAGCTCTGAGTGCGATGCACATAAACTTCCAAAGCGCGAACAGAACACCGTAATTAAAGGGCTGGGTCTGCCTCCCCCGTGGGTAGTGCTTGCAGGCTCACTACCTGGTCCTTAAACGGTGTGGTAGGAACTCTCAGGACAACGTGAGAGTAGGCCGGCCCAAATTTCAGGCACGAGTCACTGACTGAAAATGCCTCCAGATCCCTGACCCTCTTGATCGATGCCAACGTGACCAGCAGAGCTGTCTTCAGGGACAGAAATCTCAAGGATACTGAGTCAAGTAGTTCGAACAAATCTTCGTGTATGCTCATAAGCACCACAGCGAGATCCCAAGAGGGCATGAGAGGAAGCGGAGTGAATTTAAGCCACGTAAACTTTCAGTGTGGAGGGCGACAGCCTGCGCTCCAACCTATCCTGAAGTTACCCAAGTCTTTCTCGCTGCATCCAGGGACCATACGTGGAGGTTCCAAAGATCTGGGTGAGGGTGCCAGATGGTGCCCTGTCTTTAGAGAGGAGGTCTTCTCTCAAAGGGATCTGGCAGGCAGGGGTCGTCGCTTCCTTGAAGGTCGACCTGTTTGCTTCCTTGAAGCAAGCCCATATCAGCTGGACGGACTCGGAGTGGAGTCTCCATTCTCCCGGACGTAGAGACTGCCGTGAGAGCGCATCGGCTGCACAGTCGAGCTTGGCGAGCGAGCGGATACGCCACCGTCACTGTGCTGTCCAGCCTGACCAGCACGTGTTCCCCCTCCAGCACTGGTAAAAGACGGCACAGAGCGAGAAATACTGCCAACAGCTCCAGGCATATGATATGCCAATGCAACTGGGTCCTTTTCCGCAGGCCCATGGCTGCATGCCCGTAACACATGGCTCCCCATGCTGGAAGCATCTGTTGAGATGACAAGATGCCTGGACGCCTGTCGTAGAACCACTCCGACCTGTAGAAACGCAGGGTCCCTCCAAGGGCTAAGGGTGTGGTGACAGTGCAGTGACAGTTACTTGGTGTGTGCCTGCATGCCATGTGCGTCTGGGGACTTGATTATGAAGTCAGTGCTGAAATAGTTTATATGTAGCAGTCCGAGCAGCGTGACAGCGGCTGCGGATGTTGTATGCCCCAGGAGCCTCTGAAAAGATTTCAGGGGAACCATAATTTTCCAGTCGAACTCTCTGTTCTGCCCTCTCCATGCTGCCCTGGTTTAAGTTTAGTTAAGTTAAATATTAAAGTCTCTCTCATTCACACTACGGCCAATTTTGTTTAATCAATTAACTTATACTGCATGTTTTTAGGGGAAACTGGAGCATCTGGAGGAAACTCGCGTGAACACAGGGAGAACATGCAAACTCCACACACAAATGCCAACTGGCCCAGCTGGAAGTCGGACCAGCGACTTTTATTTCTATTACACTTTTTAGAATGTAGATTGTGCAAAAGCAGCTTAACAAGTTCTAGTACAAATCTTCAGTTCAATAGATACAGTTGAAGATCAATTTAGTTCAGTTCAATGTAATGTACTGTAAGTGTCACTGCTGTAAGCCCAAACACTTCACCAATGCACAGATTTTGCACCGAATTCACATTGTATTAAGTGAAAGTATTCAGTTAATATAAACACATTTTGGGATCAAATCTTTTTATCTCTAAATGAGTTTTTCTCTAGCAAAATGTTTTGAGATACATTTTGAAAAATATTGCTGTGCAATGATTTTGTGTGGAGCCAAATTCAAATGACATTTGTTGACGGTAGGTTAAAGGAGATGCAGAAGAAGAAGAACCCGCAATGACAACCATTCTAAAATGGAAACCCAAGGCAATTACTGCGCTTTCTGTTTGGACCACTGAGAGGGACTCAGGTGCTGTCAAATTCATATATTTTATTTATCATTTAATAGTTATGTATTAATATAAAACAATATTAAAACACAGTTATATGTCACTATATAACATTGGTAGTAATTTTGTTGTCCTATATGTAAATAAACAATGCTCTGCATAAATGTAGAAGCCCAATTTTGAAAATGTATATATATTTTTTATTCATTTCCCAGTGAAAATAGACAATATATTTTGGTGCATTTACACAAAACAGTTGCATTAAACAGTTATACTCATGAAAAATAAGAGTTTTATCACTTAACACCTTTAGGAATAACTCAAATGAGTTAATTGCATAAAAAAAAAGACAAATTAGTTTGGGAGTACTTATTTTTAGACTCTGATTTTATTATATTTTTAATTTAATTTAATTTTATTTATAGTTTTCGGCGTTGGCACTGGCTAATCTAATGTATGCACAAATATCATCCTATAGATCATTTCAATGTGGTGATGTCATTGGCCCATAACATTTCCTGCTTGTTATTAAACTATTTCATAACTGTAATGAGGGAATTAAATCATAACTTAATGTTAAAACAGCTATCATAACATTATTTATCAACATGTGGCTCATTTTGAATTCTCGAAAGATATAGAAATTAAAAATGTAAAACAGGAAATATTTTGGGAACATTGTTTTTGTTTACATCCCTCAAAATGGTCTATAGAAAATATTAGTTTAAAAGAAATCTGTGAGGGGTGTACTCATTCATGCTTGGAACTCTATATAAATTATGCTTAGAACTGAAGTTTTTCAAAAACAGTAAATTGAACTGAAGTACTGTGTTTGTTTATTGCAGGTCACACTGCGGTGGAGGAGTGATAAAGACAGACCTTCAAAAGACAAGAAAAAAAAGAGCGGAGAGTTGAGGTCCTGTTGAATAAACCTGCAATACAGTGAGACTGTGAGCTATGTCTTGTGGAGGAAGTGGAGTGATGGGATCTGTCACAATACTAAAATAAGTAATCATGGTCCTGTATCAGCCAGTTTACTTCGCAGTGATAACCGTCTGACTATACATTATCATGATTATTGTTGACACATAAGTTAATTCCTTAATAAATGCTAATCAAATATCAATTCCAGTTTCAATTATTGCGTCATGTTGGAGGAATGAGAGTGTTGAGCTCTTGAGTTTGTAATTGTAACAGTAGCTGATTAAATACAGTATGTATCATCTTTAAACATAAATATTCACACTTAAGCCTAAAAACTTGTTTGAGAGGGGTCTGGATGCAGACATGGTGCAGTGCAATCTGAGCTGCATCAAATGCTTTTTAATGGGCTTACCTAACCCCACCCCTAACCCTACCCCTCACCGTGACGTCACTCGCTCAATTTGAGTGCATTGTTTCTGACACTGCCTCACTGAGTGATGCAATCTCAGCTTGCATCATAAAGGCTGCATCCAGATAATATTGACTTGTTTAGAGATCACAAAATCTGATTCAATAATAAAATACCTGATAACAATGTTTAGTTTTTTAACATTATTAAAACCAATTGCTAAAAATGTTAACAAAAAATAATAAGGAAAGTTATTAATTAGTTTATGTTAATTGTAGCATTTACTGGCCAAATTAGACAAACAAACAAAAAAAAAAAATTACCATAATGAAAAGTTGTTTTATTAACTAATGTTAACAACTTTTGTAAAATAGTCTACCACATAAATGTATTGGACATTATTGTTACTTAATTCAAGACACTAACGTTTATCAATAGGAGACATTTTTAAACTGTTTCTGAAATATCTTCGTTTGACTATTTCAATGTGGTGGTGTCTTTGACCTCTGGAAATTTCCTGCTTGTTATCAACCGATTTAATAAATGAAACCAGGTAATTCAATGCTAACTTAATGTTAAAACTAAAGCTATCATAATTTTTTTTTTTATCAATATGTGGCTCTTTTTGGATTCTCGGAAGCTATAGAAATTAAAAATGTAAAACAGGAAATATGCTGGGACAATTGTTTTTGTTTACATCCCTCAAAATGGTCTATAACTGAAAAGTGTTGTATCCTTTTGAAAACAGCAGATGGCGAAATAAACCAGACAAAAAAATGTCCTTATACTGCAACCAAGATTAACGTTTTATTTATTATAACACACTAAATCAAGTTTATTTTCATTAGGGTTGGGGTTTAAATGTTTCAACATTAGAACATACAGCCTACATATTTAATTTTTTTCTTAGGTGGTGCTGCAGTGGGTCTTTGTTATGATAAATGATGTTTTGCGCATTATTATTTACTCATTACATTTTTTTTTGTTTAAAATAGATTAGGATTCAATAGAAAAAACACAAAATTTTACCATATTTTAAAAAAAAATCGGATGTATTTAAATAATTTGTGGTAAGACGTTAAAAATTAAGCTTGAATAAAATAAAATACTGAAGAAAACATATTCAATATTTAGTGTTACATATTAAATAATAAAATAATTAAACAAATAATGTCTTGGCAAATACTACTACTACTACTACTACTACTACTACTACTACTACTACTACCACTACTATAAATAATAAGAATAAGAATAATTTTTTGAGTAGTTGCCATGTAATTCAAGACAAAAATAAATAATTAAATAAAATAATGAAATAATTAATACTTTTTTTTTTTTTTTTTTTTTTTGACTGACGTTAAAATAGGACCCAAATCTCAGTAATTTTTGAGGCCCACTGCACTGTGACGTAGGAGTGTGGTTTTTCCGGCCTATCGAATTGCTTGTCAGGAGTCATGTCTCCAAAATTACAAGTATACACATGTCCACAGAACATTTTTTTTTTTGCAAATAAACTGAGATTAAAATGTTTGTTACAACTCTCTGTGATTTTTATAAATTTAAAACGTTTTAAATTAGCATGTTAGTAATAAAGACAGAAAAAAAATGCTATTCTTAATCGCAATAATCACTACAGCCACATGGTGTCAGTAAACACGCATATACAGTTAAAGTCAAAATTATTAGCCCCCCTGTTTATTTTTTTCCGTAAGTTCTTTTTAATGAAGAGAGAAGTTTTTCAACACATTTCTAAAAATAATAGTTTTAATAGCTCTTTTCTAATAACTGATTTATTTTATCTTTGCCATGATGACAGCACAGAGTATTTGACTAGATATTTTTCAAGACACTTCTATACAGCTTAAAGTGACATTTAAAGGCTTGACTAGGTTAATTAGGTTAACTGGGCAGGTTAGGGTAATTAGGCAAGTTATTGTATAACGATGGTTCTGTGGACTATTGAAAAAAATAATAGCTCAAAGGGGCTAATAATTTTGACCTTAAAGGTGAAATAAAACAATCTCAAAAAAAAAAAAAAAAAAAAATAAATAAATAAATATATATATATATATATATATATATATATATATATATATATATATATATATATATATATATATATATATATATATATATATATAATTTCTGTTAAACATCATTAATTCATAAATCATTAAACATCAATAATTCTGACTTCGACTTTATATCCATTTTAGTCTCATTGGAGTCGTGGAAATAGTGGGCAGGGAGAAGAAGCTTGTTTTGATTGAAGGCCACAGGCTACAAAAACAGCTACAGTATACTCAGACACCAAAATGGGCAAATTCGGGAGGCTGTAATAAATAATCTGATTGGTATTTTGAGGGGTAAAATAGGTGCCCTTTTAATTGTGCATAATGTATTTTAAAATTAGTTTGATAGTTTTACATTTTTAGTTTTTAGATTTTATAATTTTTTATTATTTTAGTGGTGATTCTTGTTACATTCTAATAATACAATTTGGTTTTAATGATTAAAAAAAAAACATAAATAAAAATAATTACCCTTATCTGCAGTCACAATCTTTAGTAAAGACAGAGGCTTATTTACTGTATGTAATCCACACACTGCTCTTTGCTCCATTTAAGTCTGAACCCAAAACAGTAAAGCTTAATATGAGTCATTCTGTTGACCCATTCACCGCCCATTTGGAAAAACAGCTTAACCTATATGTATTCGTAACTATAGTGTTTTTATGTTTTAAAACATCCTTTTACACATTTACATTTTGTATGACTGTTTTTGCTATCATGCAACACTTTAAAACTAGGTTAAGGAAATACAAAATAAGAGATTGAGAACAGGCACACTTCAAAGCTTTGTCAACAGTCTTTTTAAGATGCTTCCTGGTCCCCATTGTTGTCTGATATACAATAGAGGATGCTGAGAGGCAATGTTTGCTGCACTGCATGTGTTCTTTCAATTCCTTTCTAAATAATGAAACCGCATCACTTCTGCCTACCAAACTTCGCCCTCCATTGGTCAAACAAGACTTCTAACTGTGACTGGGGAGGTGTGGTTTCAACTGGCTTGACCAGATTTCCCTGGAGTCTCTCTGTGTGTGTCCGTGTGTTTTGTTTTGTTTTTTCATAGGCATAACTGACACCATTGGAGCAGAGGGAACACTCGCACTAGGACATACTTGTGTCTCTGAGAGCCGAAAACGATGAAATCCAAGGACTTACTGAATTATCAGGTCCAGCTTAGATCTTACTAATCCATGGCAGAGGAAAGGCTTGAGTAAAATTCCTGGCAATATAATGAAGCCACATTCAGCACTCAATGGATTAAAGGCAATAAGAGGTAATTTTGTACATTTTTATGTTTCTTGTTAGTTTATCAGCTTCTAAAAAAACGTAATGTATACACATGATCTAGATTTTCAAGAAGCTGCTATGGAATAGGGAATTCAGCATTATATCTAATTATATTTTATATATATAGTTGAAGTCAGAATTATTAGCCCCTGAATTATTTTTTTTCACAATTTCTGTTTAACAGATAGAAGACACATTTTAACACATTTCTTTAAGTTTTAAGGGGTCACGAAACACCAAAACACATTTTTTTGAGCTGTTGACAGTCGTATATGTGTCCCACACTGCTAAAAATACTATTAGGACACATATATTTCCCTATTAATAGCGCTATTAATTACTCATTTCTAATAACTGATTTATATTATCTTTGCCATAATGACAGTAAATAATATTTTACTTAATATTATACAGTTATACATAATACACAGTTTAAAGTGACATTTAAAAGCTTAACTAGGTTAATTAGGTTAACTATTAGCCTAGGTTATGACCAGGTTAATTGGGTTAACTGGGCAGGTTAGGGTAATCAGGCAAGTTATTGTATAACAATGGTTTGTTCTGTAGACTATTGAAAATTGTAAATAATATTTTACTAAATATTTTTTAAGATACTTCTATACAGTTTAAAGTGACATTTAAAAGCTTAACTAATTAGGTTAACTAGGCAGGTTAGGGTAATTAGGCAAGTTGTTGTATAACAATGGTTTATTCTGAAAAAAAATAAAATAAATTCAAAGGAGGCTAATAATTGTGTCTTTAACTGTATATATACTGTAAAGAATGCTGAGTTACATCACAATACCTTCATGTTATTTCAACACAAATAAATTAAGTTGACTTAATCATTTTAACAAATGATTAACAACTAAGTTGTTCCCTCAAAAAACTTTAGAATTGTGTTTGAACAAGCAGGAAAAGTCTTTAAGCGGTTTAGAAGAAGAGGTATCTGAATCTGAAATAGTGTTTTTATAAATACTTTGAATTACAATTCCATTATTTTTAAAATTGATGTCTGCAAAGTTGTTTCAAACCATTTAAACAAACATATTTAATGTAATAATGTTTCACTTAATTTGTTTGTTTAAATTCAGCCCCAATAATTGCAAATTTAATAATAAAAAAATTTAGTAAATCCAAGGAATCATCTTTGAATCATTTTTCTTATGTATGAAGAGTTCAGATTCAAAAAAACTCTAAGTGGCATCTAAAATTTTCTTTTAATATTAGAGTTTTTTTCAGGCTCATATGTCTTGATTTGCAAGTTTCACTTTTATGGCAAATAATAGGTTATTTTCATCACTTTTAACATGAAATAACTGAACATAAACATAAGAGGCTGAGAAATGCTCATTGTTGATGAAACTTCAAGATGGCACTTGCATCTGAACTCTTCATATATATTATAATGTACATACATTATAACAAAATAAAAACAGCAGACACGAATAACATAAAAACACTGTATAATAAAATTGTAAATTGTAAACAATATTTTAAAATTGTACTATAGAAATAACATTTGCTTAAATGTAAATTGCAAAGTACAAATGGTTTACCAATACATTTTATTATTATTCAAGTAGGACATAATTGCATCTTTATATGTAATTTCATAATTACTACTGTTATGTTTGAAATAATTTTTGGTTAAAGTGCAAATAGGCTGTACACACAAATATATATATATTTTTGCTTGTTCAAACTACTTATTTAAAAAGAGCTGAAAAAGAACACAATTCTTGAGATTTCATTGGGACAACTTTTAATAAGTTTATGTGGCATAAACATAAAAATATTAGGTTAACTTAATTGATTTGTGTGGGACAACATGAATAAATTGTGTGGAACCTTGCATTTTTTCACAGTGTGGCTTTATTTGTATTATAACTCACATGCCATTTATTTAAATGTATTTTTATTTAAACCATGTCTCAGGACCTACAGTATATGTGTTTACTTTTAATACTTGTCTTTTATCGGGAGATAACTGTAAAAATGGTTAATAGCTTCGAGACTTTAATGTACAACTATAAACTTGCCTGCAAAATTTTATAAAACTATATACTGAATTAAGGTAGAGGTGGCACGGTGGCTTAGTGGCAAGTACTCTAGCCTCACGGCAAAAAGTTTGGTGGTTTGAGTCCTGGCTGGGCCAGTTGGCGTTTCTGTGTGGAGTTAGCATGTTCTCCACTTGGTTTCCTCTGGGTTCTCCAGTTTCCCCATAAACCAAACACATGCGCTGTAGTGGAATTTAATAAATAGTGTGTGTGTGTAAATCCAGAGTGTATTGGTGTTTTCCAGTACTGGGTTGCGGATAGGAGGGCATCCACTGTGCAAAACATATGCTGGAATAGTTGGTAGTTCATTCTGCTGTGGGGACCTCTGAAATAGACACTAAGCTGAAGGAAAGTGAATAAATGCAGCTAGTTTTAATTTTTTGTTTGTTTGTTAATTGCTGCATTAGCAGTTTATGGCTATTTCATGGCAAGATCAATACAATAAACAAGATATTACATAATAATAATTACAACAGCTTTATACATCAAAAAGAAACAATACGCTTGTTAAGTGTGATGTCACGCGAAGTGGCTTCCGGGTCCAAGCGCTCTATTCAACTGAATGAGGAGACTCATGAAATGGTAATAATAAACGTTAACAAATCGATTTAATGCTTTCGAAAATCACAATTACAATATATATGTCCATGCCTAATATCCGATGCCCAGAAAGTGATTCATTTTTTATAAATTGCTAAATTTTTGGTATTTGTTATGCAGCAAGCTCAGAGATTGTTGTGTACACTATGATTTTATATGAAATTAACTTTAATGTGTGATAGGAATAAAACGTGATCATAAACAAATGATTTCTCCACTCAAATGAATGGCGGCTTGGACCCAGAAACAGTATACATACGTCACAAACACGTCACCACTTAACAAGTGGATACAAAATACACTTTGAATTTTACAATTAAAACATTAAATATGATTTTTAAGAAGTTTGCTCAGTGTACCCTTACTTAGTAGTCTTTAATTGTTTACATTCGCAGTATTTATTATAATGGTCAATATTGTTTGTATAGTATATATACAAAGTTAGGAACGCACGTGACCTGAGGATTATTAACTTTTTTAAACTTGTTATTTTATACAACATTTATAACAAATCCAGAGAGTCATTCTAATCACGTGTATGAAAGTATTTTGGCTGTCCTAAAAAACATAATGATAATGGAAAAAGCTGGTGTGGGACCTAAATGTTTCTTAGGTTATTAATTAAAGATGTTTTCTGTCACTGTTTGTTTAGCCTGCATTAATGCATTCAGCGTAAAGCTACACAATTAAACGTTAAAATATCCTGATTCAAACCTGCACATTATGAGTGATAAATGATGATGATTTGCATATGTTTATTAATCCTTCAAATCTGCGTCAGTTTTTACACTTTTTTTAGTTAGTTACAAACAATTAAATAACACAGAAGTGCTGGGATAAGTTTATAGTTCAGATATAAACACTGATGTTTGTGGTAAAGATTAAAATCACCGTTTAATGGAACTTGATGCTGGTGAATGTTGTAGCAATTACATTGCGTAGTCAATGGGTGGTGACAAACAACCATGAAAATTATGTCACTGAATAAGTTTTCAAAAATGATCCATCTATAATTAAGCATGAAGTTTTATGTGTGAATTGTTGAATCATTAATTGAAAATAAATATGACATGTGGTACAAGATGTTCTAAATATCTATATTTAGAATGATCAACAACAGAACGAAGATCATTTTTCATAATGAATATTTTCATTTTTTTAGTTGGTTCTTTCTTGATTTTTTTATTTTATTAAAAAAAATGACAGGTTCCAAGTTATGTTTGTTAAAACCAATGTTTTTGCAGTAATATTTTTGTTTAAATGGAAAGCAATAGACATTTTTTCTTCCTTTTTTGCCGGTCCGAAAAATTATTTTTTAATGAGTTAAAAACCGTAGTGTGATCTGAACCGTGAGATTTTTGATCTGTTACACACACACACACACACACACACACACACACACACACACACATATATATATATATAACTTAAATAACAGAACTTCTTTAAACTGATCAAATCAGAGTGAATAAGGAATAGATGAAACCTAATGTAATGAAAAAATACAGTACTGAGGGCTGGAATTAGAGAATGTTGTGCAATGTATTTATAGGTTGTGAACAGTAGAAAAGGAGTGTGACTTCCTCGAATGTCCTTCAGAAAACAAAGGCCACTCTTATATTCATAAGCTTCTCCCTAAGGAGCTTGGGTGGGCTGTTCTCACACACGCATGCAACAGCAGTCCTTCCTGTTCGAAAATCCCTTCAGTAACTGGAGAGCCAGTGATTTGGGAGCTCTATTTTACTTTACTTGTACTCACCTCAGACAAAGTTCATTGGCATTGTGCTCACTTTCCAAAACCACAGTCCGGGCAGCTCGAGGAAACAGCAGCAGCCCTGCATCTTACTTTTCACACAAGGAAGCGGGTCGCCGAGCTGTTTCAAAAAGGGAATTGTACTGTATCATGTTCTGTAGAGTGTCAGAACAGACTTTATAAATGACTGTGATCATGATGAATGTGCAGCGGTGATATGTGGAGTGGGAAAAGTGCACAGGTTTTGAGCGGAGGCCTTCCTTTAATCCTTCCTGGCGCTGAAGGCAGAATGTGTGGAAAAGCATCTGACAAAAATGTGACCTTTTACTTACAGCAAATAGAGTCTGTTTTCTATAACTTATTTCCAAGGATGTCTATGATTTTGCTGGAAAAGACCTAAGTGTTGGTGTTATTAACTACAATTGATTAAAAATATAAAATCTTTATTTTTATGCATCTAATCTGCTTAATTTTTGTATAGGTTCTCTGATATACATATACAGTAGGGGAAATATGTATTCAACACGTAACCATTTTTCTCAAAAACATATTTCTAAAAGTGCTGTTGACTTGAAATTTTTCTAGATGTTGGTAAAAACCGAAGAAAACCATATATGCAAAGATTAATTATAAATAGTTAAAAATTTAAGTTATGCATAATAAAATAAAAAAATAAAACCCTTGACTTCTATTTAAAGTAAATGGTGAGGAAATGTTCATTGTTGGGTAAGCTATAGCTAACAAAGCAGTAAAACAGTAGAGATTTTACCATAATTACAAAAAGAAAAATTGATGACAGGCCACTGAATTTTTTAGAAAAATATTTACTATTGTTTAAATTTTATTAAATAAATTTTAATTCAACTCATAGTCAATATTCCTATTATTTTACTACACTGTTCAGATGTAGCAGCATATTTCAAGACATTTTTCTGGTTTACTGTGTGTCTCTAAACAGCTCATGTGTAGATCAGGGGTTTTCAAACTGGGGGCCGCGGCCCCCCTGGGGGGCCGCCAGATGGCGCTAGGGGGGCCGCAAAAAAATTTTAGATGAGGGGTAATCAATGGGCCCACACGGATGAATTTTGTGTCCCGCATCATTCTGAAGGTTAATATATATTTTTTTTTATAATTTGAGCTCAAAAGTACTGCAAAAATTAAGCTTTATGCTTATGTCATTTAAATGCAGTTGACACTTTCGTGACACAGAAAAAGAAGCGCAGCGCCTGCCTCTGTGCACGGGGACTTTTATTGAATAAGCGCTTCTGGTCGGGTGCTTCCTGTGATTTTTGGCGCTTGTCTGCTGCACCTGACGGTGTTTACCTTTCACTTACGCTTACCTCTTTTACGCTAAACAACTAAATGAATGTTCAGGTCTATTTAACTGACTATATTTCAGTTAAAATACATGATCAATAAGAACATTTTCGGTGGCTGAAAGCACTTCCCTGTTTATGGCTGCCGTTCCTAAGTAACCGATCAGCTGGGTGCTGCGGAGAGAACAAATAGCATTTTAAAGACACGGCACAACATTGCACCTCGTCCACAGTGCGACAGGCTTTACACTTTGCATTGTACAAATATCAGACGGTCCTCTTTGCAGCATGGCAAACAATCATATTAAAATTGTAAAGCAAAAAGTGCTGCAGTACAATGAGTGGAGCTGTCATCACATCAGCAAGTTCTCAGAGTTTCACTCCTGTTACACTAATGACAGCTGGATGAGCTCTGCAGTGGACCTCTTACTCACATTGGTTCATAACTGGATGATTTAAAAAAAACTAAATTGTATACACCCTGAGTAAAACCACTATAGCCTATAAAAATTATAATGTATCTGTTTTTGTTATGTTATAGGGCTAATTCATTATTAAATATTAAAATGTATTAGTGCTTTGTATTTAATGGAGCTCAACATATCTGATCAAATTTTAATACTCTCAATATAAATGCCTTTTTTTAAGATGTTCCACTTTTTCCCATATTTATTTGTGTAACTAATTTAAATGTAATTTGAATACCCTCTTTATATTAAAAGAACTTGAATCCCCAATTCTAGATTGCATTTAGGAAATTATTTTTTATCAGTGTAAGTCAGGATTGTCGACCTGAGTAAATTATGATGTGCACAAAAAAAAAGGAATAAAAATAAACAAAACACACTGAACCACTACAGCCTCCATTGTAGTATTGCTAGTTTCAACAGTACAGTTAACTGTTAACAGGCTGATGAATGACAAAACTCTTTAAAACTTTAAAGCTTTAAATCTTTAGTTACATTTAGACTCTCAGCTGTAAGGGTAAATACAGAAACGTCTAGCTGTGCATAGGCAAAAAAAAACATAAAAATGGCATAAAAAACTGTTTAAAGTGACGTCTCGTTCACAAAATATGTCTTGATGGAATCCAGCGAGAGCAGACCACAATGAACACTGCGCATGAAGATTTGATCAATAGATTGAAGCACTGAAACCATGTCAACTCAACTAACATCTTACAAAAATTAGTCCAGATAATGAATAATATAAATTTATTGAATAATATATAATAATATAAATTTATTGAATAATACAATTAAAAGAAAATTAAGTACAGTTGTTAATTTGAGGGGGTGGCGTCATTTTTATTTTTTGGGGGTCCCCAAAAGAATTCGCCCTACACAAAGGGGCCCTCAGCTGAAAAAGCTTGAAAACCCCTGGTGTAGATAATTTTGTGTCTTTTTTTAGATGTGATTTGATATGACAGTCATAGACTGCGAATTGCCTGTAATAGTTCAGCCTAGTAATATCGAGCTTTTTTCGCTTGTCCAAACTACTTATTTAAAAAAAGCTGAAACAACACAATTCTTGAGATTTCATTGGGACAACTTAATTTTTATGTTTAATCCACATGAATGTGTTAAGTTAACTTAATTTGTGTTGAGACAACATAAATGAATTGTGTGGAACCCTGCATTTTTAGTGTGTAGTGAGATCAGGAATTGCCTGGAATTACTTTACCTTAACAAATAATTGTACACCTTGTATGAAGCATTAAGCAACCTTGTAGTACCTCAAGTCAATGAATATTTTCAATTAAATTCAAGTTTATAAGTATAGCGCTTTTCACAAAAACTAATGTTTCAAAGTAGCTTCACAAAAGGTGCCCATTATTACATTACAATCAAAATCAGAAAAGAGAAGGTTATTAGTTACTATAACATTATTAGTTACCAATAACATAATAACTAATTAACTAATTATTAATTACATCATTAGTTAAAGTTATTATATATAAACATAGTTAACCTGCAGTTATATAGTACATAAATGGTATCTATGTGTAGTTGTTCAATGAAGTATGATGTTTATGTGACAATTATCTAAATTCTATGTTTTCTATTTACAGGTTATGAAAAGGAAAGGAGCATTTTACTCACAGACAACACTCAAATCTAAAATCAAGTTTTCACCTGATCCACATCAGGTGTACATCATATTGTGCAGTCATGAAGGACCGCATGGAGGAGCTGCGTCAGCAGATGAAGGCTAGCGAGAAGCTAGTGGACAGCAAACCCTTCAATAAGGAAGAAGACGAGGACATGGACCCGTCCTCACTGATAGGCCTGCAGGCTGTGATCTTCGAGGCAGAGCCTGTCCTGGAAATCTTTCTAAAGGACGCTCAGGGCATTCGTGACAGCATCGAGGAGCTGAACTCTGAAGTCAGTAAGTTTAACGAGCAGCAGAAGAACTTCGTGGCCACCATGAGGCGCCTCAGCATCATGAAAAAGGAAAGTAACATGACTCGAGACATCAAGCTTTTGGCTGAGAGTCTGCATAAAAGGTTAGATGCTCTTTCCAAGCAGGCTAAGCAAACCGAGGCCGAGCTGGGCCCAAACGCCACCACATCCCGTATCCAGAAGATCCAGCACGCAGCTCTCTTCCTCCAATTCCATCAAGTAATGCGTCAACACAATGACGCAATCTTAAGCAAGCAGGAAAAATGCAAGCAGTTTATCATCCGACAGCTTGAGGTATCAGGACGCGAAGTGTCTGAAGAGGAGGTGGACAACATGATAGAGCAAGGAAAGTGGGAGATCTTCAACGAGAACATCATAGTAGATGCTAAGATCACTCGAACCCAGCTCTCGGAGATCGAGCAACGCCATAAAGAGCTTCTAAATCTGGAAAGCAACATGAAGGACCTGAGAGATCTCTTTCTAGATGTGTTCATGCTGGTGGAAGAGCAAGGTCACCAGATTCAGAACATACAAGCCAATGTGGAGAAGACGCAAGATTATGTGTCGGTCACGAAGGAGAAGTTCAAAAGAGCTGCGAGATATAAGAAGAACAACCCGCTTAGAAGACTGTGCTGTTGTTGCTGTCCTTGGTTTAGATAGCAGAGCAAGGCTGGCAGGATAAAATGTGGGAAAGCTTGTTATTTACTGCATTCCCAAGGGAAGAACTGATGGCCGAATACACTACATGAAGACATTGACCTCTGTCTGATGAAGATAAAGAGCAAGGGCACAAAGCACTTTTAAAAACATTGAAACAGGAAGGCGTTACAGTTGGGTGTTGACATGCAATACAAGTAGTCATATGAAGATTTTCTAAGAGATTGGAATGTTTTGTTACATCACAAATGTTATTTAAGATCTAATGAAGGGTAAATTAAACAGAAAATTCACCCTAAAATGATCACTTATTCAGTCTCAAATGGTTTCAGACCTTTATAAGTTTCTTTATTAACACTACAGAAGATATTTTGAAGCTGAAAACCTGTAACCATTGACTTTCAGAGTCAAAACTAAAACTATGGAAGTAAATGGTTAAAGCTTCCCAAAATGTTTCAAAATATATTCTTTTGTTCTTAACAGAAAAAAAGAAACTGGTTTGAAACAAATAAAGGGTCAGTAAATGATGCCAGGATTTTTTTTTTTTTTTGGGTGAACTATCCTTATAATTTGGATTTTATTATTGTAAAAAAGGCATGCTTTTTAAAGTTGCCATTTATTTAACTGATTTTTTAAATGTATTTCAGTATTATTTGAATCAGTCAACTTGAATAGTTGTGTGTTTAGATTAAATATTTGAGCTAAATATCAAATATCTAAAGACAAAGGATGATGAATCGGTGTCCATTAATATTCAAGCTATACAGAAAAACTCCTGGAAGTTCTTCTAAAGTACAATTTATACTTGATACTTCTTTAAGTTTGCTTTGGTGTGCTTGAACATAATGGTATCAGCAAAGAGATGTTGTTGACCTTGGCCCTAAACCAAATGACACACTTCATGTGTGAATATATGGAACGTGATCAGGGACAAAAGTCTTCAAACAATTTTTGTAATTAGTTGATTGTGTCAACAAGCATATTTTGGGTGTGTTAAGATAATAGTTCCCACAAAAATAAGTTGTTACAAACCTGAATGATCTCTCAACACAATATATATATATATATATATATATATATATATATATATATATATATATATATATATATATATATATATATATATATACACACATACATACATACATACATACATACATACATACATACATACTTACATACATACATACAGTTGAAGTCTGAATTATAAGCCCTCTGAATTATTAGCCCTGTTTTTTTTCTCCCCAAATTCTATTTAACAGAGAGATTTTATTCTACACATTTCTTTTACTTTTAATAACTTTTAATCTTTAATAACTGATTTATTTTGTCTTTGTCTAGATATTTGACTAATATTTGACTAGATATTTTTAAGACACTTCTATACAGCTTAAAGTGACATTAAAAGGCTTAAAAAGGTTAATTAGGTTACCTAGGCAGGTCAGGGTAATTAGGCAAGTTATTGTATAATGATGGTTTGTTCTGTAGACAGTCAAAAAAAATTTGCTTAAAGGGGCTAATAATTTTCACCTTAAAATGGTTTTTAAAAAATTAAAAACTGCTTTTATTCTAGTTTAAATAAAACAAATAAGACTTTCTCTAGAAGAAAAAAATATTATTAGACATACTGTAAACATTTGCTTGCTCTGTTAAACATAATTTGGCAAATATTTAAAAAGGAAAAAAAAAATTCCAAGGGGCCTAATAATTCTAACTTCAACTATATATATTCGTTTGAAAGAAAAAAAACTCATATAGATAGAGGATGTCTTGAGGGTGAGTAAATTGTGGGTTAATTTTGTTGAACTATTCCTGTAAGAGTAATTGATTCAAGAGTGGTGATAAAATGCTTATTAGCACATATTCATTCCAGTATGCCATTATGATGTCCTTCACCAATAAGCAAGGCTTCTGAGGTTTCTAGAGTACTGCATATCCTGATGTACCTGGCTTCATCCTAAAGCTTAGCTTAGTTGACTTGGTGCACAAAGACACCTTGGAATTCTAACTTTGGAACACCTCCATGTAATCATCTTTGTCCAGCTTTTGGACACAAAGAGTTGTCTTGTCCAAATACCCACACTTGCGGTTTGGCTACCTACATGTGGTAGGAAGTGTGCCAGTCTGTTCCATGTGTTCCAAGGTGCAGTATCCTAATGGGTAGTAAACCCTTAATGGATACTAAAATCTCGAATATCGCTTCGGAGGGTATTTGAGGCTAAGAATATCCATTTTGTAACTACCCAGCAGGCACAGGACCTCAACATGACGTCACATTGACGATATACCCCAATGTCATGGGACATTGCTTTTTGTTTGGAAATGAAAATCGGGTTGACGTCAGATGTTTATTGTTGTACAGACGTTACATTTTGGTTACTTTCCAACACAATCTAAAATCAACAAAATATCAACGTCAATTCATGTTGTTATTGGACGTTAAAATAACATTGTTCTTGGACACTGGTGACCTAAATCTAACCTAATATTAAGGTCTTATAATGTTGTGTCTGCTGGGTGATTCTGGAAGTACCAGACTTGACTGTGACCGTTAATTAACTGTTGTATACATTTTGAAACTGCTGTAAATCACATGATGAGACAAATTAAAAGGGCATCTTTCATAGAAAATCAACTTTTGGAAGCTGTTTGGACATACCTGTGAAGTATATTATGTACGCAGCCATATTAGAGTAGTATAGACACATCAGTTCCCTTTTTTATAAATATTCTAATAGTTAATTATGTTCCAAATCCCAAATGTGACGTTGCAATGTGGTTTTTCCTGGCCACCGAATTGATTGACAGACACATGTCTGTCATTATGTCTTGCTATTAATGCAGATTATCATGTCCACAAGATAGGATTTGCAAAGAAACTGTGATTAAAAGATCTGTTCTAACTATATGTGATCAGCTGCACCACAAGAAGTCTTACAAGTTTTTAATATTGCATGTTTTTAATGAAGAAAAGGCAGAAAAATTGCTATGCAATTCATAACCACTTCAATCACCACAGCTGCGTAGTGTCAGTACAATTATAAACAAAAAGCTTCAACTACACAAATGAGTCCTAATCTGAATAATGGATCCAGAAAATGGATCTCCATACAACAGCATATATTGACTTTATTGTCACGAGTAGATATGCAATTGCAGTGCAAAGTTAAATGTGTGTACATGCATGTACAGCAAACCGTATGGCCAGTCCTAAGCACTTGGAACAACACTTCAATATAGCGGCCCTTCAGAGGGTATCCCATTTGGAACGCACTGTATATCTTTAGATAATTGAACACACCTGAACCAGCTAATCAAGGTCTTGAGCTTCAAATTCTAAACTTGTGTTATAGCTTAAATCTGCTGGACGGTGTTCTTGCAGAAGCAGGTTTGAAACTTTTGCCATAATGTTTGCATTAAAATTTTTTTCACTCATTTATTCATTTTCTTTTCGGCTTAGTTCATTTATTAATCAGGGGTCACCACAGCGGAATGTACCGCCAGCTCATCCAGCATATGTTTTACATTGTGAATGCCCTTCCAGCTGCAACTCAGCACTGGGAAACACCCATACACTTTCATTCACACACATACACTATGGACGATTTAGCTTACCCAATTCACCTATAGCGCATGTCTTTGGACTTGTGGGGGAGCACCCAGAGGAAAACACATGTCAACACCGTTAGAACATGCAGACTCACACAGAAATGAAAACTGACCCAGCTGAAAATAAATGTGCACTTAGTATTACATTTCAATTTCAAACTAACAGTTAGACTGCCACTTGTTAACACGCACAGTTAAGATGTCAAGGTTTATTTAGTATGCATGCACAGTTTGACTGTGTTGAGGTTGCAATTTTTATTTAAGACAAGATAATCGCTGATTTTAACTTGATTTAGTAATTATAAATACGAATAAAATGTAATGTACAAGTAATCTGATAATTGCTCATCTTTAATACTCTATTGCTTCATTACTCTATAGAGCTGATTATGAAACTGGTTGGTCTCATGATAAGGTAAATAATGATTATGACACTGAGTCAACAGAGCAGGTATCAACTGTAAACACTATTTCTAGGATCTGGGTGTGTCTGTTTGCACACGAAAATGTGTTGCACAGAAATTGTAGGTGGAAATATTAATAGAGAATGCAACAGAATGTGACCGTTTACAGATAACAGAAAATATAAAAATGATGTTTTGGTGTAGGGTGACACGAGGGCGCAGTGGTTAACACATTCATTTCACAGCAAGAAGGTCATTGGTTCGAGTCCTGGCTGGGCCAGTTGCCACTTTTGTGTGGAGTTTGCATATTCTCCCCGGGTTGGCGTGGGTTTCCTCCAGTTGCTCCGGTTTCCCCCACAGGCCAAAGACATGCGCTGTAGGTGGATTGGGTAAGCTAAATTGGTTGTTTGAATGAGAATGTTCACTGTATGAATGCGAGTGTGTATGGGTGTTTCCCAGCGGTGGGTTGTGGCCGGAAGGGCATCGGCTGTGTAAAACATATACTGGATAAGTTGGCGGTTCATTCCACTGTGGCAACCCCTAATAAATAAAGGGATTAAGCCAGGGGTGCCCAAACACGGTCCTGGAGGGCTGGTGTCCTGCATTTTTTAGTTCTAACCCCAATTAAACACACCTGAACCAGCTAATCAAGCTATTTCCAAGTACTGTAAAAAATTGCTGTTAAAAAACGGTCAGATTCTACGGTAAAATAATGTTTTTTCACTAAAACAGTAATATTCTGTTAAAAACAGTGCATTCAGTAACATTTTTGTTTTCAATAAAGTAACCAACTGCAGAAAACTGTAAGCTAACAAAGTTCAGATTCGACATTTTGAAGTCTGTGTTTAAAATCACACTTTGTGCCCTTGTTCACTATTCCATACACTAGTTCACCGATATAGATCACCTGACAGAGTTAATGAACACTAATGAGTGAATTCAGACACTGATGAACACCTGCTGTTGATAATCACATTACTGAAGGAAAGAGAAACAAGAAACGCAAACAGTGACTTGAGTTACAACATTAAATAAAATCAAGTAAAATGAAACACCTTCAGTCTCTGGAGAGGATCATTAAGCAACTCCACAAACAACAGCAGACACACTTATTACTGACTGATTTGACTTCCATACTATTCTCATTGAGATCCAACAGAAATTTAGGTGTTTTTTGAGTCACCGTTATGGAGTGAGGGGCTGATTTAGTTGGGCTCTTCACCCTTGAGCTTTTTAATTCAGACTCTCCAACTGCTGTAATACAGAGTTAGCAAATTTTTTATTACAGCAATAAAGTTGGAATGTCAATAGATAGATTAATTTAGTTGTCTGAAATTGCTTAGGATAAATGTTTTGGCCTCATGCAATAGATTTTATGCTTAGTTGCAGATATTAATTTAATTAATGAAAAGTGGA